CAACTTCACTGAAAATTATCTGCAGAAGAAATTCCTTACTATGTATTTCTTATAAGGAAATTAGTAATTTCACTTATTACATGTGTTACAAATAAGTTATGAAGGAGGGATCTCATTGTTATACCAGTTTCCCAGTTGTACTACAACAGATAAAGAAATGCTTATGGATCTCATGCATGATTAGACCAGTGAAAATCTTCCTCTATGTATAGTTGAAAAGTATCTCATGTAAACTGCAGATGTTTTGCTATATATTTGGAGTTGTGAAATAGCTTCCATATAAGGCCTTTAATTGGTGAGGTTTTTTCATCAACATTTAGTCACAGCTGTTCTCAGAACTTTAATGAAGCTAACTTCAAAGATATACATGGTGTAAGATTAAGAATTAGATAATAATTAATGCTCCAATGGAAAAAATAAAAGAGTAACTTTACAAAGACTGTATTTACATATTTCATAAATATATCCAGAGATAATTCAATAATGCAGAGGAACCCTGCAGTCCCGTAACAAGATATACTATTCCTTGAAGTTACCAAATATGATCCTGTAGAATTACTCAGGGAAAGGAATTAGTTCTATTAAAAAATGGCAAAGTAGACACAAGAAGTTTTTCTAAGCTGAAATGACATGTGTTATCTTGTAATGCAGTATGTATTAGGAATCCGTACATTTATTTTAGCATAAACTGTAAATCATGCCATCACAACTATAATTTATTTCAACATTACACATTATGTGAGTGAGAAACTGACTTTTATAAATGTGTGCAGTATTCAGATCTCAACCAGGCAAAGGTACTTCAGATCTGACATGGGCACCTTCTGTCATCTGCTCCTTAAAGAAGCTGTGCCTTTTCCTGTGTCCACATGGTACCTGTATGGATTCAGGAAAATATGTGTTTGAGTTAAGGAGATAGCAACATATATTTAAGAAGTAACCAACAGCAGATAAGTTGCCCATGCAGGATCCAAAGGACCTTGATTTTTTCCAATTCAAATACTGTATATCTTTAATAATGGTTTCTCACCTTGCAACTAAGATATGAGCCCAGATAATTGGTAACAGACTTTTGTTAAAAAGTACCAATTTTATCTAGTTTCATAATGTAAATATTTTTATTATTACTGATAAGGGTAACTGGGAATTATGATAGTGCTTGGATTATCTATTTTCCACTTAAATTTCAAGGATATTTTCTTCAGAAAATCATTAATACACCTTGACATGTAAACTTCAGTTTCATCTTTGAAGGGAAGGGAAAGGAAAGAATGGGAAGGGAAGGGAATGAAAGGAAATGAAGTTTGTATATAGCAGTAACCATATCTCCTCTGACAACCTTCTTTAACATCTGGATCCAGAGAAATACTTTTGTCCAAGAGGAATCAATTAATGTCAGTAAAAGCATAGATGTCCATATAACTGGTTGGAATTTCTATGCTTAGAATTATAAGAATAGGAATCAAAGAAAATATGAAAATATTTAGTTTGCAGAGGCAAACTAAATTTGCAAGAAATCTGGTTGTACCATATTCTGTGTGAATGTGATAGATGGTAAGCTCTAGCACATTTACATTTCAACTATGTTTTCTGCATTTTAGCATTCATGAGCAGTTTGAAATTTCAGCTTCATTGCTTTCTCAATAAAGATAATATATGATATGGAAAAATTCTAAACTATAATTTCTGTTTGTTATCCAGCTGTCCTTGCCTAACAAGCCTTAAATGATATATAATATAATATTCTTGGTCTTTCCCTTTCTTCATTTCTTATCTAGATTGTTTACCTTCTCTATTCTAAGCATCATATATGAAAAATCACATAACCTGATATTTGGAAGCTTTTTTTCTTAAAGTATTTGTGTAAATGCAGTTCTTTCAATATTTGTGTGTTTTTAAAGATAAATAGTTATCATACCCATAAATGGTTTCATCGACTCAGAGAAATATCCACAGTATTCTTATATATTTCTGAGACTTTACCCTTATCACAAGTAATTTTATTTTTCTGTCAAAAGCACTACTGTATGCCACCGATAACACATAAGTAAAGTCCATCACTGTTGATAAGAATCTTCATGTTTTCCCCCCAAGGGAACATATATCAGGGTGGTAAGAAGAGTCTAAGGAAGGAAGGTTTAAGTATACTCTCTTATTAAATTCAGGAAAATAAACAGCATGAAAAACTTCTTTAAAACAATGTTATATGCCTCTACAATATGGAAAATGTCATATCAAAACAAAAGACAATAATATTAATAAGAGCAAGCACTGTTATGAGAATATACATTATTATTGTAAAGTTAGTCATGACTACTGTATTTAATAATCAGGCAATTAACCTGAACAAAATATGCATCTCCAAAATGTATCAATTAAGATATTGTTTATCTTCAAAATTAAATATACAAACACTTAAAACACTAGAGTTATATTATGCCACTTTGGCTTTCAAATTCAATACCTAACATAATTCAGATATTCAGTTTAAAACATCATCAAAGATGGTTGTCTGGTCTCTGCTTGAACATTCCCCTGAAGGGCAAAGTCACTATCTGTTAAACTAGATAATTCAATTATCAACTGCTCAAATGCTCCAAATTGTTCCTAATATAACTTTGCAATTTATCCTCATGAATCTTTCTGTTTATTAATGTGTTCATTTATACTAACAGTGGGATAGTCGAAGGCTCATCAGATAATGCTGAATCAATTTGTAATAATTTGTAATAACCAAGTCCTCATGGAGAACAGTGAGAAAACTTAGGAGATACAGACCAGCAACATCAAAAAGAACATCCAATTCATATCATAACTACTTCTACATTCCACTTGCAATCAAAAGACTATTCCTTTGCAGTTTTATACACTTTTTCAGAATAAGACCAACTGTACTCTGTAGGGACAAATGAAAAAGCAGGATAGAAATCCTGAAAGAAAAACAATTCAGGAGCAAATTCTGAAAAAAAAAAGATATGATTATGGTCCAAACACTATAACCAAAAAGAAGGAAAATATCAGGAAACAGCTGATGAGACCGAGTTAATTATATAAAGAGTTTTCTATGTTGAAATACAAAAAGAATTAGTTTTAAAAGTGGAAAGAGGATCATGTAGTACAAACAGAACATCAACAAATAATCTGAATCTGTAAAGATGGGAAGACTAAGATTCTGAATGACCTGAGGTCTGCAAGAATGCTATAAACAACTCTACATTTTTCTTGAAGTTTCAGAGAACAAGAAATTTAGGAAATGAAAGATCTTCTGTTTGGAAAACATGCTAAGATGGGTGTGCAACAAACTGCTTAAACTGCTTAATTTATCATTTGTTTTTATCTGTTTGCAAAAGGAAATTATAAGATGTCCCATAGGGCATAGAAAAAAAAGTCAGGTCAAAATAGGTAAGGAAATGTTGAGGCAATAGCTAACTGCTTTGAATGAATTCAAGTCTCCTGCACTGGATGAAATACATTTGAGAGTAGGAACTGTAAAATGTGATATCAAAATCATTGACTTTAATCTTTGAAAACTGCTGAAGGATAAGGGAAGTACCAGAAAATTGCAAAAGAGTTCCAATCCTTTTTTTAAGGAAAAAGTTGATCCAGAAAACTACAGATCAATTAGTTTTTCATCAAAACATGGGAAATCCTGGAAAAGATAACAATCAATGGGTTTGCAAGCACTCAAAAAGAAAAAAAAGATGATTACTATCAACTAGCAAAGATTTTACCAGAAAAATCTTACGTTATATGTATGAAAAAGTAACTAGATTAGTAGACCAAGGGAATGTTCTGGATGTAATGTACCTAGACCTTGACCACAGTGTGCTTTTCAATAAACTGAAACAATGTAAGGTGGATGGAGTATCAGATGGATTTGCAGTTGGTTGAACAACTATATCCAATACATGGACCTTAATGGTTATAAATCTAAAAGCAGAGAGTTGTCAGCATTGTACTTTAGGATTCTATTCTAATCTCAACAACAGTTTTTATAAATGACAAATAAGAAAATAGAAAATGTCCATCGAAATATGAAATATATTTGCAGATGATACAACTTGGAGAGACGATGATACAACTTGGAGACAATGCAGTTCAGTGGTGACAAATTTAGGATTCTAGACCAAAGTATGATATATCAAATGTTCGGCTACAAAATGGAAGACACTTGGCTCAGCAATAGTAGTTTTGTGAAAAATATGGACGTCTTGATAGGCCACATATTAGGTGCCAACTAACATTGTGTATAAGTTGGCAAAAAGCCAATGAAAACTTGGATTGCATAAGCAGATATATCATTTCAAAAATAGAAAAAGCAAGAGTTTCACTTTATGTAGTATTTGTCAGACTATGTTTGCAACATTGTGTCTCTTTTTGATTTCCACAATACAAAATGGGTTGGATTAGAAGACTTGCAAGGTCCCTTTCAGCCCCACGATTCTATTATTTCAATGGTACTCTTTGCCAGTAAGCATGCATTAATTTGAGAAACATTTTAAATATTAACTGTCAACATTTTTTCCTGATAAACTGGTAATAAAATAGAAGTGGCTATGAACTTCTATTTAATTCTGATAAATGTATTTTGATTACTTGACATGCATAATTTTCTTAGCTGCACTAATCTTGCAAATTTGAGCAGTTTATGAAGAAGAGGAAAACAGCCAAAAGGCCTCTACATGATTATGATTCATACTTCCCCAATGGTTAGATATGAAGAATGCTTCAGAGTACATTAAGTTATTACATTAGTTACTTCAAGTTTAAGTGCTTTGTTTTATTGGAAAGGAAAATGGGAAAATAACTGCTGTACAAGTTTCATTATTTCTCTTTTCAATTATATTAAATACATTTGCAATTGATGTATGATGTTAATTCAGCATTAGCATCAAACTCTGATTTTAATATGACATTTACATTTGATGGCACCAAAGAGCAAGCTAATGATTACAAAACAGAATAATTAACAAAACCACAATGTAGTAATCAACACTCACCATGCTGCAGTTACTGTTTGCAGAAATGCATTTCTTATCATCACACCATTGACAGCCATTTGTATTAGCAGTACAACTGGCACAGTCTGCATATTTGTAACATCTGTCATCTGCTGCGGCTATCAGACAAATGGAAAGTGTCACAAAACATCAACATGAGAGACTGAGAATGTCATGCTTTTTAATTTGCACATTTTTAACTGTTGCTCTAAACAATATTTATTGTACTATTAATTGCAAGTGCTACTTTTAGTCTAAGATTAATATTCTTCAATAAAAAGCAAGTAATATAGGTTATATTTCATTTAATCTCAGTCATGCATATATTCTACTGGGAACTTTTCTAGTTTTAGGCTTACCAAACAATCATTCCCGGAACAACCTTTCCTAAAAAAATAATTTCTATACAATTTGTAAGTTTTTGTTATATTCATGTGAACTTCACATTCATGTGAACTTTTCATTCTTTACTCATTAATTGATCAAAGTATCACAGTAAATTTTAACTACTATCCATAAAATACATTTTTAAATCTGAAAATTTAAAATCCTGTTTGTTATATTTTATTTTACGTTATATTGGACTATCTGTATATTCTTACATGCAGCACATACAAAGTAAACGAGAAGCCTATCTTACTGGCTCTTTTTATCTCATCATATCTTTGCAACAAATGTATTAGTACATCAAACTTATACCAGCAAATGCAGATTTAGCAGCCAATGATTTCCTAGTTGGATGGGGATTTGATTGATATAGCACAATAAATATCCAGAGTATGAATTCAGGATTGTGGAGGTCTCAAGCATCTTATCAGTTTATTTATTTATTTATTTACCATAGGGTTCACTTACTATATTAAGCCTTAATTTAACATATGTATGCATTTATTCAATATTATTTAGATGGGTTTCACAATATTAGATGGCTTCATAAACATGGTGTAGAAATACTTCAAAAAGTCATAAAAGGGTAACTAAAATCATAGTTTAGAAATCATGGTTGAAGTTTTGCACAACATGACATTGAGGTGAGAGAAAATTTATGAACTTTTAGAATGATCTATAATCTGCAGTATTGTGACTTATAAGAAAGCTAGTTTGATGTAGCAGTTAAGGCACCAACCTAAAAACTGAGGAACCATAAGTTCTAATTGTGTATTAATACAAAACCACCTAGTGCCTTTACGGAGAAGGCCCTTCTTCTGGGTTCCGTCAGATGTACCACCTCAAGGGACAGGATACACAACATTCCTTGCCTCCCCATTCTAGTGGGTCGGGTGGATATGACCCACAGTCCCTCAGATAACCTGAACTTGTGGTCCATACCATACCAATATTTTTCCATAAGACAGTCATCTTTCACTTTGCATTAGTTATGTGGGCTCCCCATTTCTTTACATATCAGAGTAAATATCCAGAGGAGGAATTCAAGATTATACTCAACAGTTAAAACTGAATTTCGTAAATTTTGCTTTTATAAAATTTATTTTTAACTGTTGAGTACAACATTGAATTTTTATGGCATGTGTTTCTCTGCAAGTACATAACAATAAAGACAATGAATGAAAATATGTTGAGCTATTCTTCTATGTAGGCTACAGCATCTGACATTATTACAATCAGCTATATCTGTTACTCCATCATTGTATATATACTGCTACACAAATAGCAAGGAATTTTATGTTCCTTCATAATTGAAGTAAATGTTTCTAATCCCATGATTCTGATAGGCAAAGATTTGCAAATCAGCATTTCTTCTTCAACAAATGACTCTACATAAGCAAATACACAAATTTGATTGCTAAACTTGAAACATCAGTGGATTTACCTGCTTGAAAGGAAAACCTGTTGTGCTCTGCTTTACTTGTTTTATTAGGTCCTTGTCATAAAAAAATTGACATAACCTTTACACATCATTATCAAACAGTAGTACATATTCATTATTTCTAAATATGACCAATCATGAATTCTACTAGATGTTTTCTGCATGGTTTAACCAAGTTTTCTGCAAGAGTAAAAGCTTCACCTGCTTTTGCTATATGATAAATCACAAGACAGCAAGTTTCAAAGACACTGTTGTTGTTGCACAAATTATTCTATGGAATTCAGCACATTTTCTTTTGAAACACTTGGGGCTTTTGTCTTTCAAATTGGAATGTTTGTTTCCAGATGGCCTTGTAATTTTTCTGGATTCATATTATTGCTATTATTGTTATTATTGTTCTCATTTGATTTGTTTGATTTGTTTTGTTGACAGTCCACATAAAATGAAAGTTGATAAAACTGTATTATTTAGCTTGAACTTTATTTCTAAGGACTTGTACAATTAAAACAACAGCAACAGTACTGGAATGTTCAATTTTTCTGTTTTCATCTTTTTCTATACTGCCTGCAACTGTACAAGTTTGTAGCCAATGAACTGGAAAAATATTCATAGTATATAAATATTTATTAACTCTAATCAAAAGAATAAAAATATTCCTATACTGAGGGGTATATATCTAAGATACATACAGAAGTTGAATATTATTAAGCTGAAAAAATATGCAGAAAATTCACCATTTGTGATGCCACTTAGAATGAATCCATTACAGGATGACTCACTTGTACATAAACGTGACATGCAGCACAAAATGTACATGTTTTACATTAATATAATGAAATTAAATTGATTTCTCCATTGTGAATTATTGGCTGCAGCTTTTTAAACGTCATCTTCATTTTCCTTCCTTTGCAAACCTGATTCTCTCACATGTTTACCCCAGAAGAAAAAGAGCTCAGTGACTTAACATGCTAAAGATTGTATTTGCTCCAGCGGTTCGAGTCCTAACACTGTGTGTCGGGGTGCGCTCCTATCACTAGCCTCAGCTTCTACCATCTAGCAGTTCAAAACCATGTTATTTTCAAGTAAATAGGTACCACTTTAGCGGGAGACAATTTGGTGCTTTGTGCGGACAATTAAGAATCCTGCTTGTAGTGGACCTTCGCAGCCCATTGGCAAGGCCCATTGGCAAGGTGGCTTAAGTATAGAAAGAGAGCCTCAGATGACACTTCAGGAAGGCCACATCTTTCTTTCTTTCTTTCCGATTAGGAGTTAGCTCATCCCCTGTGGTGCATCTTGGGAAGCTCATGAGCATGAACCAAACAGGGCTAGCAGTCTTAGGCAGCCAAACTACTACTTATAATTAGCATTATAATCTCCTAGCTGACTAATGTAATATTGCCATATGCTAAATAAATAAATAAACCCCAGGAGACACATATGCAGCACTGCTGCACGGTACAATTTT